CGGCGCTTCCTCCCACGGGCGCGTGGGCCAGTGCTCTGGTGCTCGAAGGCCTGGTCGAGGTTGAAGGGCGGGCGCATGGGCTTGGCTGTTGATGCGGCAGACGGACCTGAAGACTTGCCATAGAGTGGCGTTCAGGATAGGGTCTGGCGCGGTGGGCATGGCAACTTGAGGGCTTGGTCTTGGGTGAAATCTTTGTGTGACCGTCTCGCCCTGGAGGCGAAAAAGGAGTGCACGGTGTTGGGCTCGGCTTCCCTGGATGGCGGAGGCCCTCATGGCTTGAGGCCTCTTCTTCTGAAAAATCGCTTGGAGAGAGAAGAATGGGCTTCCCCCAAAATTGTTTGCTCCTATACGGCATGATTGAGCACGCTGCGGTGTGAATTTTGCAAGAGTCACTGCACGGTCGTAATGCAAAGCAAGCGTGCCGTAAGGGCTGGGCTGCGACTGCGGAAGCGCGCCAGGTGGTACCTGCAGTGCCACAAAGCTTGACAAACTGAGCAGGAAAACTTTCCAAGACTTGGCTCTTGCCTGCGCAAAGGCGGGCAAGGCTCGGTGAAGGCGAACAGGGCCGAAGGAGGCAATAGCCGTGCGAGTAGCGCTCATAACGCTCATAGCACCTGCTGCAGTAGTGCGAAGAGTGCGTGTCGTCGCTGAGGGACCTGCTCACATCGATAAGGCGGCCGCAGGCGCAGGGCAGGGCGCAACAAGCCTGTGCTCGTCAGGTAGTAGCACCTAGCCCACTCCCCAATGCGTGCTGTGCGGCAAGTGCATGGAAGGTGAATGGCTGGGCTGAGCACGCGCCGCTCCAACTGCTGGACGGCCTGGCGGTTGTCTTGGGGCCGATGGTCGCTGTAAGGAGAGGCGTAGGCAATGGCGGCCAGGGCGAGCGCGTCAAGGGCGGACAGGGCGAGGGCGCCTGTTTGGCACCAGCACCTGTGGAAAGGGCTGACCCTCGTGGCTTAGCTGGCACGGCGGACTCACCAAAGACCAATGCAATTAGCGCACGGCTGCGCACACTTCCTGCTGACAGAGCCCCTTTCCTGGCAGAGCCCTTTCCTGACAGAGCACACTTCCTGGCAGCCTTCCTGGCAGAGCCCCTTTCCTGACAGTTCCTGGCAGAGCACTTCCTGGCAGAGCACACTTCCTGGCAGAGCCCCTTTCCTGGCAGAGCACACTTTCTGACAGAGCACACTTGCTGGCAGAGCGCATTCCTGACAGAGCACACTTCCTGGCAGAGCACCTGGCAGAGCACACTTCCTGACAGAGAGCACACTTCCTGACAGAGCTGACAGAGCCCCTTTCCTGAGACTGACATCCCCTTCAAAGCTGACTCGCCCCTTCCCCTTCACACACCCCCAAAGCTGACTCATCCCCTTGGCAGAGCACATCCTGACAAATCTTGGACGCGCGCGGCAGGCAGACCTCGGTTGCTGTGCGCCATCATCCGCACGACGAACACTGCCCTTCCGAAGAACTTGGCAGGCGGGCAGCGAGGCGGGGTTGTCTACCGACTGGGGAATGGCGCAGCTTAAGCTTGTTTGGAATCAGCCGCCGGCCGTCGTACCGCTGAAGGGTTTGCTGCGCACTATGCCATCCTTCAAGACCACATGCAACAGTTGCAGGTAACAACTAAGCATCGCGCCAAGGCAAGAACAACTTAGATGCATGGTTGCTGCCACGCAGGCTGCGGATGAATAACCCCCCTCCCCTGAGGGGCGCAGCGCAGGGCACGAGGCGCAGGAGGAGCAGAAGGCACCAGTTGGAACCGAACAAAGGACCTGGCCAGGAACAATAATGTTCTTCGCTGAGAAGGATGCCGCCGATGGAGCGGCGCTCAGCTTTCTGGGCAAGAAACTGTTCACCAGCCGAGCTTCATGGTCGACCTGGGCTGGACAACGTTTCCGTCCAGGTCGTTCAATCGGAGCGCATGCCTGCTACGGAGTCCCTCAGGCTGAAGTGCGCGAAACCCGTAAGGGCGAGAGCTCCTGATGAACTTTGACTTCCATCAACGACTTGGAGGGATTCGTGGCCTTTGTGAAGACTGAGCGGCGCTGTACAGCAATCTTGCGGGCTAGTCCGACGGCTTGCGCAGGAAGCGCAAAATCAAGGGCGTGCCCAAGAAGGCGATGGCCAACATCGGCATCCTTGGCTTGGCCTCGACGCTCACAACCGAGCCTTTGGCCTGTAACACTGCCGCTGCGGCTGAGGCTGCTGGGCGCAGTACGCTGGACGGAACTAGTGGAAAAAAAGAGAGCCCGTCTTTGCCCCGATGATTGGGCCCGATTCCTGATCGGCGCGTCGGCCCTTGATTGCCGTCGGCAGGGCGCGATTGCGCTGTCATTTTTGCTTACTGCGCGGAACTGTGCAGCAGAGTACATCCTAAGCGGTTTGGGTTCTGCAAAAGCTTGAGGAAAGTTCCAACAAAGTTTCACGCTGAGTTCCAGGAGGGTTTCACAAGGACGGCTTCCAGGTCGGGGCACGATTGCACCGCCGGGGCCCCATTGCACCGTCGGAGCCCGATCGGTCCCCGATTGCGCCGTTCCCGAGCAGCCTGGGTCGGGCTCCGTGCGGCTGGCGTCGCCCAGTTTTGCTAGATAGTTGCAAGGTCGCATCCTCGGGCGAACCTGCGTTGGGCTTTTTCTCTGGGAGCGCGCTTGCACCACGGGACCATCAGGGGCCTGATTGCACCGTCACCGTCGGGCCCCGATCAGGGGCGCGAAGCGCTGACACTCAAGGCGGCATCCAGCAAAGCCGGCGGTGAGGTGCTGTTGGGATGTGGCCTCAGCTTTTCTTTTTCAGGGGCACTGGCAGCGTGGTTGCGCAATGTCTTATTTGCAGGTGCTGCGCGCCTTGCCCAAAGATGCGCTTTTGCAAGTGCCAGAATCACGCTCGGGCCACGTCAAAAGAGGGGAACCTGCTTTGCCAGCTTTTCCCTTAGGCGCTTTGTGGTAGACGCCCCGTGAAAACCAGAAGGGTGTGTGTCAGTGCGTCTTTTTTTTGGTGTGTGTGTCTCATCTGGGTAACTTTCTTGGGTTTGTTTACACAATGTTAAGTTGGGGGTGTTGAGACAAACCCGGAGGCCGACAAAGGGGTTGCGCGGATTTCACGCGTGAATCCAACTGCTGATTGTTTGGTCTGGCACACCGCCGTACTGCGATCTATGCAAACTTAAGGGCAGAAGACGAAAACGGATCTGGCACAGCGGATCTGCGAATGTGACATTGTTTCCAGCTGTCAACGTCCAGAGGTGCACTCAGCTCGAGAAGTGCAATGAACAAATACCAGACCGGTCGGTTCAACTCATCAACTGGTAGGGAGTCCTGATAGACAGTGTCCGCCTGGACTCGATGCTAAAATGTTTCACCAGCGGAAAAAAAATCCTCAAATGGACAGAGTGACAGAGTAGTTTTTCCATTTCTCTTCGAAAACAAGCAGCTGAGATGAAAAGATGTGTCTTTTCGAGGGTAGCCCCAGTTTTGTTTGAGTTTCAACAAAACAGAAACCAGAGCCAACACGAACAACAGCTTTCGCCCGTCCGGACGGTCGGCGCTCGCTGGAAACCCATGGCGGCCTAGCGGCCATGGAGGTGGGCGAGGCGTGGAGCCGTGGTCCATGGGGCAATGAAGTTGAATGAACCCCAGGTTTTGGGCCATGAGGGAATGTGGTTGAATGAACCCCAGGTTTTGGTCACCTTGTGGGTCAATATTCAATCACCAGGATATGGACCGCAGGTTTTAGTCCATGTTTCTATTTACCAAGGTAACCCATTTTTGGGGTTACCCTATTTTTGACCCACAACCAAGTAGGGAATGCGGTTGAATGAACCCCAGGTCAAACGGTGGACCTTGTTTCTCCAGGTGTTATGTCGTCGTTCCCGGTGAGCTTCGGAGCAACAGTTCCGGTTGACCATTGTGACTGATGCACAGGTCTGAGCAACTTATGATGGACAAATCCGAGGGACCCTGAGCAAGTGAAGCTTGGCCGAAGCAACTCCGGAGCTTTTGATTCATTGGGCGAGTGACATCTCCCTTTTGGGTTCCAGAAACCCGCAGCCCAGGATGCTGGCGTTCTGGGAGGAGCTCGCCGGAAGTCTTTCTTTCGCTTGGGGCCTCTCGGGGATTGTCCTGCGAATTGCCAGTGAAACTGCCTTTTGCCAGAGCCTTCCTTAGAGAAGATCATTGCGTTGGGAAGAGGCTCAAGCCAAAGGCTGCCAAGCTGCCATTTGTGTTGTTAAGCCTGGCTGCCTGGCAAGAAAGTGAATGTCAGAATTACATTTGGTAGAGCTTGAGCAAGATTATCAGCGCCCAGGCTTTCCCTTCTTCTTGAGCTCTGGCGTATCTTAAGTTTCCTTTGGCTTTCCTTCACAAGTTTGAACCAACAGTTGAAAGTAATTACCCTCACAACGCAAGAAGCACCCATTCTTTTCGCAGCCGGAGCCCCCCCCCCAATTGCGAGCCCTTTGGGGTGCCAGGACACCCTCAAGGCTTCCCCCTTGGCTTTTGCTTGCCCCCCCCTCTGGACGACCAAAATCTTTTTCAGAAATGGGTGCGTCTTCTTTTAGGGGGCCCACGAAAAAATGGTTGAAATTCCGATTGGTTTCCTTTTTACACCAACTGAACATGGCGTACCTTAAAAATGGCCGTGGCTCAACAAACCGGTACCGAAATGGAACCCTGGTCCTGTTTAATTTTGAGCCACACCCAAATGACGCACCCGGTACCTTGACTTGGGTTCCATGCAAAGCGGGGAGGGGTAGCTGGATGTAGTTCATGTTTTCCCCATTTTGACCCACACCCGAATGGAGCCTCGATGCCTAACTCTCTGCGGCCGCTTCTTTGAGTCAGGACGTTTTTCATGTCGGCCACGTCTTGATTCAAGCAGAATCAAAGCACACAAAAACAAGAAGCAGGGCCAAGTCTTGAACCCCCCAAGCCTGCCAACCACTCAGGCCACCCCCAGCCATTCACACCACAGAACAGACCCAGTCAGCAGAAAGCCACTCAGCCTCCGGACTCCGGTCTCGCGATCCTCACGCTGCCAACGCATCCGTGATGGATGTCGCGCTCGGCCCGACATCCTAAAGCGCTGCAGGGCGATGAGGCACTGGAAGCAACAGTGGAGTACATCTTCAAGGCGCGCAGATCCGATCTGCAGACCGGTTTCTGTCCGCTTCCAAGCGCAGCTTTTGACCTGGTTTTTCGGACCCACTTGGGCCTTGTTTTTGCTTGGCCTCAATGTTTTGCTTCGACACCACGTGGGTTTGACGAATGGGCAACGGTGAAAGCAACACAAGCGCGTCACTGGCCTTGACCGGTTCCCCGAAAACTCCCTGCCGGTTTGGGATCGAAGGAAACCAACCGGGAAAACTGTTTTTTCCTCTTCTTTTCTTGTTTGGGAGGAAAAGACACATCCATTTGTCACATTCAAAATGGCATGGTCGAAGCCAAAAGTCCACCACTCCGCCGAGTTTGGGGTTGGTGCGTTTGTTGTTGCCACTCGCCTTCTGCATCAAGTCCAGAGACTTCTGGTTGCTGGATTTGCCTTCCATCGCTAAGCCCCCAAAGAATGGCTGAAAAGCAGACGTGCCGCGTTTTTTCTTTTCCTTTTTCTGGTTCAGGGCCTCCTGTCCAGCAGCAAACTCCAGAAGTTCCTCTCGGAGTCCATCTCCCAGCCGCTGAAGGAGGCGCTCCATCACTTTCTGAGCCGCTCGGTGCCGAGTGGGACCCGAGAGAGTGGACCCGGCGTTCTGACCGCTCAAACCGGTTGGGACCTACCAGCGACGAGACTTCTACGTCCAAAGGGAAGCAGCATTTTCCCCTCACAGATTTCGGGCCGGTGACTCATGCTGGGGTTGCCGATAGAAAGGCGACCTCATGCGGCCGCGAGAGTTGGTTGGCTTTCTTCTCAGACTTGCCGCCTGCAGGGGGTTCCCGTGCAACCCGCACCCTTTTCAAAGGGTGGAACATGTTGGCTCCCTTACGTACGGGGCTCCGGTGGTGGGTCCAACCGATTTTCACACGACTGCTGCTTACACACACACACACACAAACGCACAGACACACTGGCACACTGGCACACTGGCACACTGGCACACACACACACACATACACACACAACCCCCACACAACCACACACACACACAGAACCAGATCTGCATAGTCCCGCCACGATGGGCGTTTGGCAAAGCCCAATTGAGCCGGCAACTTGTACAAGCTTTGCCACAAAGCGCAACATTGTAACGTGATACGTTTCTCGGTTTCCGCACTGGGCGAGACGTGGGAATCCACGGGTCAATGGGTGCCTTGGAGCCCTCCGTTGAGGCAATCCTTTCTTTCCGAGTTCGAAACCGAGTTCTCGCCTCTTAGGTTGAAGAACCAGTGTCCGCCGCCATCTTCATCTTTGGTGCGTTTTTCTGCCGGGCCTACCTTTTTTCCAAGTTACTGGGCATCTCACCTGCCCAAAGCGAATCGACCTTTAGACGTTTTTTAGCTTCCCGCTTTTGGCCACATTTTTTGTGGCCTCAAAAGGCTTGGCTTGGTTTGGCGGAGTCTCTTCGTCGGCGAGTTTCGCCTCAATTGGTTCTTCACAGCCCTCAAATGGGTTGAGCACACAATCGCAAATTCGCCCCAAAAGGCCAACCTGAGCCACAACTGGGCAACTGACTTCGCCAATCTGAGGCGATAGCTTTGACGCCTCCTTCCCGGGCATCCGCCTAGGCGAGGTGCAATGAGTTGGTTTGGGTTTTGTTTGGTTTGGTTTGGTTTGGTTTGGTTTGGTTTGGTTTGCTTTCTTGCTTGCTTGCTTGCTTGCTTGCTTGCTTGCTTGCTTGCTTGCTTGCTTGCTTGCTTGCTTGCTTGCTTGCTTGCTTGCTTGAATGA